TGTGCGTCAGGCCACACGACGCCGAGCATAACCTAAACACGGTTTTTCAAATTTTTCAATAGAAATCATTTTCCTGCAGTACTTAATTATAGAACATTTTCCAATAGAAAACCAACTTCTCAACAAAAAATATTTCCTATGCTTAAAAGACACATTGTTACTAAATACTTTGGTATTCTTGGTGAGCTCATAAAGGCCATTGATATCACCTGGTACTTGGTCGAATCGCTCCCACTCCAAAAATTTTGCTCCCTACAAGAACACTAATGTCCAAACAGTAACGTTGTTGGGTTACTTCACTGCAATTCTGCAATCCTTAAATGGTTGTTATCTTTGAAACGGTGATGAGTCCTTTGAACTAACCATTTCAACAGCCCTTTGGTATGGTGAATAATTGACCTGAATAGCAGGGTCAAAAATGAGGAAAAGATGAAGGCCTTCATCGTGGAGCTTTTTAGCATAATTGCCAAAGTCTGACCAGTCCTGTTACAAGATTTATTTACAAAAAGGTGCTTGTTCAAGCCAGTTATTACTCTCTCTTCCTTCATACCACACATATTTTAAAAGGGAAAAGTAAGTGCTTTAAACGTAATGCAGATCCTTGATTAAAATTTGTAAAACCCTCAAACCACTAAAACTTACTTCCCCGGTAGTAAAATCTTTATAACGATTCATGTAATCAATATCAGCATACGGAATGTCCAACGGAATGTTGTAATTTTGAACTCGTTCTACTGCATCCTTCATTTCATCCAGATCTTTGTAGCCGTAACGAGAGAGCTAAATAATTCGTAACTTGAGCGCTATACAATGAGCAAAAAGTACAGCTTACAATTAAGCTAAATTAAAGCAAAACATATAATGCTACTGATGGCATTAAAAAAAGAGTATTTTACTTAGAAGTGGAAAAGAAAAAATTGAATCAAAGATGTATGTACAGCATATATTAATGATATATCATTTAAAAATAGCAACAGTTCTTACCTGAAAACCAAGCGCAAAATAGGCTGGTAGCATTGGCCGTCCAATAAAAGCCAAGTACTGTTTGATGACATCTTCCGGTGTTGGTCCTGGGAAAAAGTACATGTCTAGCAAGCCACCGATTGTGCGATAGACTAAATGAGGGTTTGGTCCCGTTGTCACTTCCTAAATATATTTATTAATTAGAAGTAGTTCTCAAAACTATAATACCTTTCGTTTTCCCCTTAATTCTGAAAGAAGTATAAATATAGTAGAAATGGCCACTACAACCGTCAATAAAAACCGTTAGCAACACCTATATAACCTGAGCATTACTGTTCCAGACCAGCATCCCATGCGCATTCCCATCACTCTCCAGGCAAATGTAAAATGGATGAACACCATAAAGATTTTTTCTGTCATGGCCCTTTGAATTTGGAGGTTCGTCTCTTGCAAGCATACCCCAGGTAGTGTACTTTGAGAAATCGTGCTGAAAATAACGCTAATCGCAAGAACAAGAAAACTCTAAACTGTTATTCTGAAATCAAATTACACTGTGAAACATTTTTAATTTGCCGACAAATTTGAAAAAAAAAAAGTAATACAAAATAAAAAAATAATGATTTAAAACACCAAAATAATGATTAATACTATTGCTGCCTCGAAATAAATTCTAGGAAAGAAATTAAGCCGAGAAAACCTTCAGATTCTCGTGGACATTTTCTCCGAACCCGTATAAGGCGGTACTCGGAAGATAAGTAGCAATTTGTATATATTTGTCCGAGAATACAAGCCCACCTTAAAAAACTGTCATAATAAACCACTTCATAGAGAAAATCATCTTTGGCTATATTCAAAATACAAGTCAACTAAATATGAAAGAAGGACCTGAGAAAAATTAATGGCAAACTGAAGAAGAAACGCTAT